ACACACACATCACTGACACACACATCACAGTGACACACACATTACTGACACACACATCACTGATACACACATCACAGTGACACACACATCACTGACACACACATCACTGACACACACATCACTGACACCCACATCACTGGGGCACACATCACTGACACACACATCACTGACACACACATCACTGACACACACATCACTGACACACACATCACTGACACACACATCACTGGGGCACACACACACACATCACTGACACACACATCACTGACACACACATCACGGTGACACACACACATCACTGACACACACATCACTGATACACACATCAAGGTGACACACACACATCACTGACACACATCACTGATACACACACCACTGACACACACATCACTGTGACACACATCAGCATCGCTGACACACACATCACTGACACACATACACATCACTGACACACACACACATCACTGACACACACACACATCACTGACACACACATCACTGACACACACATACACATCGCTGACACACACATTACTGACACACACATCACTAACACACACACACATCATGGTGACACACACACACATCACTGACACACACATCACGGTAACACACACACACACACATCACTGACACACACATCACTGACACACACATTACTGACACACACCTCAACATCACTGACACACACCTCAACATCACTGACACACACATTACTGACACACATCTCAACATCGCTGACACACACATACACATCACTGATACACACATCACAGTGACACACACATCACTGACACACACATCACGGTAACAAACATACACATCACTGACACACACATACACATCACGGTAACACACATACACATCACTGATACACACATACACATCACGGTAACACACATACACATCGCTGACACACACACATCACGCGCGCGCACAAAATTGGTCTCAATCTCACGTAACAGCATTAGAGAAATTCGCCGTTGTAAGCAGAGGATGAGGCTGCCTTAGCGTGGCTCTGAGAGCCCTAATTGGCCGCTAGTGCTGAAGGATGCACCGCACAACCTTCAGGGAGCTGTATTAATGGGGGCACTGTGATGGTGCTGATAGTGCGGTGCGATATTAAAAAAAAAACAGAGGCAAAAACGCGGACACGGAGCGATCAGGCGCAGGTGAAATGAGCGGATCACAACATCCCAGCCTAAGATTGCGCTCCTAACTGGCACGGACACATCGCTGACACCCTATACAATTATCGGGGACATCCATATAATCATTGACGACACTTACACACACATCACTGAAACACACACACACACCACCGACACCCATGTAATCATTGCTGACGCAAAGAACCCCCATATAATCTAGATTTGAAGTTTCCGTGACTGCAGGGTTCCATACACTTTAATTCTTTCGGTAAATTTAATTTATTTTATACCTACGTGACTTTACCGAAAGAACCAAAGAGTAAGCCCCCATATAGCATTCAACACACTGTTAGGGCAAGTGCTGTTTAGTGCTCGCTGACGACAAAAACAAAGATCCCCCGTATAGCCTTAACAGACTGGAGGGGCAAGTGCTGTTAGCGAGCACCTATGAAGGCCGGCACGGCACAAGAGGAGTTGGGTAGCCAGCACCACGCCCGGCCGCCTTTGTCTCCTTGGTGGCAGTGTTTTTTTTAAACACACCGCACCAGATATTATTGATTTGAGGATTTAGTCAATGGTGTTAACCGTGAGCGGGAATCGAACCCGCGTGGCCGTGTCTGCCGAGAGTTCGAAGCGCAGCGCGCTAACCGCAGCATTGCCACTCCCCACACACACACACCATCGCAATTACGCACGCGCGCGCACGATGCTAACGCGTAATGTGCACATCACCGGTGGATACAGACTCTCCATTGACACCCATGTAATCATCGGCGACACACACACACACACTGCGAACATACGCACGCACTTCACTGAAATGCGCATGCATTCATCAGCGGCGCACGCTTATCACTGACGCACACATTCATGGTACACACTGGCACACACACAATCATCACTGGCACACACACACTCACACTCATCATAGACACACTCATCAAAGGCAACAGACACTTCACTGACACCCATACATAATCAACTGCGACACACATGCACTGGTAAACACGCATTGCTGAAACACACACACACACACATTACTAGCACACACAGACATCGCTGACACCCATGTACTCATCAATGACACACACACACACAGTCTGGCTGGTCAGTACGAGTTGGCACAGCGGGGTTGAGGCTGACGTGGTGGAGGCAGGAGCGGGTACACATATCGCTGATGTTCAACCTTCGCCGGGAATCGAACTCATATGCCCCGGGGGTTCACGTGGCGCGCTATGAAACCACAGCGCCACCGCTCCTCACCGTGCAGCTTGCATCGCACACGTGGTCACGCCACAACGCTGCCGCTCTTCACATCGCCGAGCAAAAATGCAAACGCCGCGTACGATAGTAAACGTGCGTCCAACTTCCGCGGCTTCATCACTCGCGGAATAGACGTGTCGGGCGGCATGTTCGTGGTGACACCTGCTGTGCGCGGACGGTCGCCTATCCAAACACAAAATCACGAAAAGCCACCCCAATCCGGGACCTCCCAAGGCCGCTTTGCCTTCCGAGGTCTGTCAAGCGCACGGCGCATTCTCGGCGATTTTAGTCGTCGCGGACCGATTGCAGGAAGCAAGCCTCGAATGTGCATAATGCGAATGCTGTGTGGGTGCGTGAGACTGTCATCCTTTGTTATCCTTTCGGAGGTAAAAGCGAAGCCCTGCAAATGTCTTGCGAGAGGCCGCCCGCATGTCGCGCCTTGAATATGTCGTGACATTGTGACTCAATACAGTACAGTATACGTACAGTCTTTGCTTTTATTCCCCCCCTCCCGTTCCCTCCCAACCGAGGCACATATATATCGCACAGTGGCGGGGGACCATCAATCATTTCATGCACAGCAACACAACGGCAGGTGCAGTAGCACACACTCTCGATCGCTGATCGTCTTCAGCAGTTCTATACTGCATCTGTAGGAGTGCAGTCTATGACTGATGATGATCGGTTTTCCCTGTACGAGTATATAGCGGATGATGACGATGATGATGATCAGTTATATACCACCGCTGTATGTAACTGCTGATCATCTTCAGCCACCATGATCTATCCACTGATGGATGAAGCGAGTAACAAATGGCATGTATTTACCATGGAATGGCTCACTGAGTCGTCAGGATCTCAATCTCCAGGATCTCTTTCACAGGAGTGCCCGACTGACATTGGGATGGTTGTCCATCAATTAAGACGTTTGGCTTCGTGCGGAGGGAAACCCGCAGGAACCAAGAGAGAACACGCCATCTTTCGCACAGATGGATTCAACAATCCGTTGCTGTGCTGCCATCTCCAGCCTACGGCCTGCCAATGCCTGTGGCATTACAAGCCAGTCTCCCGTCAATTAACGAAACCAAGCGCAACCCCTCTGATTAGCTTCCGAGATCTCCGCGAATTCAGGATGTGTGGTTCTGAACAAATCGAAACCCACAGCTGCGCACTTAAGACGCATATCGCACAGCTAACCCGACTAACAGACGTATCTACCCTTTTATAGTTGTCCTGTGGCATGTACTTTTTTTTACCCCGCCATGGCAAAGTGGAATTGCCAACCACTGCGAACAGAAGTCGCCAATGCGGCCAAGGAAAAGCCCCACTTAAGAGTCACACACTGTGTGGATCGCGCTACAGCGTAACCAAATTACATGTTGCATTGTATATATATGTACTGCCCTGACATCGTATACATGATACGCTGCAATATCCACGTGCACGGCTAGACTGTTAGCGGGCAATCTATGGAGGCCGGCACGGTGGGCGATGGAAAATGCGGTGGTTCGCACCACGCCCGGCCCGCCTTTGTCTCCCGAGTGCCGACGTTTCAACACCGCAGCTGGTTACTTTACTCATTTGAGGCCGAGTAGACCTCGGGGAGAAATCAGGGCCGGGTCAGATATCGCTCGCCACTGACGCGAGCTTTCACGGGGAAATCCGAGCCCACGTGGGCTGGGTTCGCAGAAGCGAGCTGACAACTGCGCCCACCGCTAACCCGCACACGCTCGCGGACCCAGACACACCACCGTACAACAGTGACACACCAACACCGACATGAAGTTAAACACATAACACAAACGTCGTAACGCATACGTACACTAAGCCCCGGCTAACGCACTAAACCACATACAACACGCGCGCGCGCGCACGCGCGCGCGCACGTCCAACATTCTGTGCTGTGAGCGAGCATCCTAAATATATAGCGTCAAAGACATAGATCCTCCCCCATGTATATCCTTCAGCGTACGCTTGGGGCAAGTGCAGTTAGCGATCGCCTATGAAGACCGGCAAGGCACACCAATGGGTGTGTGTGTGGTGTATAACAACCACGCCTGGCCGCCTTTGTCTCCCCAGTGCGAGTGTTTACACACCACACCGGGCACTTATTTAAAGGCTGACTCGATCTAGGGGTGGGCCAGGACCGGTTGCGATAGTCACCACTGCTAATGACAGTGGGAATCCAAGTCAGGTTTCTGGGCTCGCAGCGCGCTAATCACTGCACTTCCGCTCCTCCATATACAAAGACAAAGATCCCCCGTATAGCCTTAGACTGATGGGGCAAGTGCTGTTAGCGAGTCGTACCGATGAAGTCCCGCACGATGCACGAGGGGGTGGGTGACCAACACCACGCCCGGCCACCTTTGTCTCCCCAGCGGCGATGTTTACACGCCGCACAAGCTACTCATTTGAGTCCGAGTCGACCTAGGGGAGGCCCAGTGCCGGTTCAGACATTCGCCACTGACACAAAGACAAAGATCCCCCGTACAGGCATAGCAGACTGTTGGGGCAAGTGCTGTTAGCGAGCGCCTATGAAGACCGGCACGCCACTGGACACACACACACTCACACACACAATCACACCTGTGTGGAAGCACACGGGTTGAAGGAGCTGTCGGAGTACAGGTGCAGTCACAGAGCTGTCGGGCCCGGCATCCCCGCTTCCCTCTCTTCGTCCCTAATCACGGCCACAGCAGCGCCCGTAGCACCCGCAGTAGCAGCAGTAGCAGCAGCAGTATCAGCATGGTACCCCTCACTCACAACATGTGCCGCCTGTGCTCGCAGGATCTCTCCTCCTACCCCCTTTCTCTTCCCCCTCTCTCGCTCTATCTCGGCCCACCAGCTCCCTCTTTCTCTCCCTCCCGCATCTCACTCGCGCGCTCTCTCTCTCACTCCCTCCCTCTCCCCATCTTACCCCTCCCTCTCCCCATCTTACCCCTCCATCCCTCCCTCCCTCTCTCTCTCTTCTCGCCTCTCGCCTCCTGCCTCTTTCTCTCTCTCTCTCTTTTCGATTTACGTCGTTTCATGATAGCACTTAAGTAAATAACGATTAAATAAAGAAGCGACGCATCGATGAAAAACATCACAAACGGGTGTTTTGTTTCACCCTTTCCGGCAATAAAACACACGGGTTGTGTTAAGACGTTCAAACAAAACCAAGTTAGATACCTTTTGCAAACGCATAAAGTATATTAGCCACGCACCACGCGTGACACGTATAGGCAGGCCATATATATACAAATGTACCGAATCTGAGCCACTGATGTATATTATAATCGTGCTCTGGAGAAGGGTCAGTGCTCGAAACGTCGCCTATTATTACGTCGTTTTGTTGGAAGGCGACGCCGCAGTCTTATCGGCGAAACGATGCTCTCTCTCTCTCCCCACATTACCCCTTCACTCCCTCCCTCTCTTCCCAGCTTCCGCCTCACTCACTCTCCTCTCCTCCATCCACCCCTCCCTTACTCGCTCGTCTCTCTCCCTCCCTTACTCTCCTTCCCTCTCCCTAACTCGCGCTCCATCCCTCACCATCCCTCCCCATTCCTCACCATCCCTCCCTCACCACCCCTCACCATCGCTCACCATCCCTCCCCATTCCTCACCATCCCTCCCTCACCACCCCTCATCATCGCTCACCATCCCTCCCCATTCCTCACCATCCCTTCCACCATCCCTCCTCTCATCTCACTCACCCCCCTTCCTCTCTCCAGCCGCCCGAGTTGCACTACGCCCGCGGATTATGCGCTTACAGCGCCGAGGTTAGAAATGCGCGGAAGTTCTCATCCACAACCCTAAGAGGAGCGGACGAGGTGCACTGCTCAAGTGGCCCCATCACGTACGCCATAGTATTGCGGCAGACGATGTCTAAGAGCACGTCAGATGCGCCGGAGGAGTGTGTTAAAATCATGGTGGTGATGGTGACAATGAAGCTTCCGCGATTTTCTTGTATACATGCTTACGCGTAGCACTTGGGAGTATTCTGTTGTATACCAATAAATACATCGGCTCCAGTTCTGTATCTCCGTATGCAATGTTTTCCCAGTCTATACGCCTGTTGGCCATGGAAACTATGGCTAGCCAGCAACATTTAAGTACGCAAGCTGTGGATTAGTTTCACTCGTCTGGGTGTCATTAGTCCCACGGTGGCAACGTATGAACTACCTCGCCTGGTATACGGGAGGTCGTGGGTTCGATCCCGACCCTGACGCCTGCTATACATCATCATCATCATCACGGTGGCTAGGAGATGTCAACTTCCTCGCCTGCTATACAGGAGGTCGTGGGTTCGATTCCGACCCTGACGCCTGCTGTATATCTCGAGTTTGCGTGTCTCTCTCCCCGTGGTCGCTTGCATTGTTATCGAAGCCCTCCGGATTTCCCTTCACATCTAGGAACTCGCGTTATTTGGCTGATATAATTTCCACATAAAACCACTTCGTTGAGCTATCATTTGTGATTAGCCATGTCGCTTCGGAAAAAGAGCCGTAGAGCTGACTGGGCCTTACCTGGTAAAATAAAAATAAAAAAATATAGTACAAAATATTGAGCAAGGGTAGGCATGTAACCACTTCGAACACGTACTGGGTATATACACAAGACAGCTGCATGCACACTCCTTCACGTGGTGGTCGTGGTGGTGATGTGCTAGTTTCAACCTTGTGACTAGCATCAGCAGTGTGAGGCTTTGGTGCAGCTGTACACCTGCTGGATGCCAATATGCATGGAAATCTCAGCCGCGTGCACGCTGGCTCACGCGCTGGTGCCGTCTCACTCGAGGGAAAACTCATGAAAAGGAAACCACCACAGAAGATTCCAACGGAATTTCAAAACGGTGTGAAACCTGACCTCGCATTGAGTGTCGACGAACGGTTATGGAACGTCATGAGTAATTCATAAAATACTAATTCTGGAATTTCACATGAAGGCCGTAACTCGCGTGGAATTTATGCAGAATGTTTGTTGTAACGGCGAGGGCCCTCTATTTTTCCGTCTCCAGGCATCAAACATAAAGACAAACGCCCGTACAATATGCAGCGGTGAGATTAGTCTGCATGCAGGGAGGGAGGGAGGGGGGCGAGACGAATCGTAGCAGCGTTGGACTACGACAGATGATCGACAATGACATCAGTGTGCAACTGCGAATTTTACCTTGAGACACATCGGCAACTCGACATTTTTAGGGCACACTACAAAGGCACCCGCCCACCCATCCACTATTGACTGCCACAGCAAGAGCTGTTCGTGAGAACCTATGAAGGCTGCGTTTTGGTTGAGTCGACTTCAATGGGACATCCAGGCCAGGCTCCGTTAAGAATTACAGTTATTTTGCCACTGTTATGCGATTTGGTGCCCCTGGGTTTGAACCAGGCATTCATATTTTCATTAATAAATCTCATGCCAATTGTTTACCGGGGGAAATAATCAGAATCAGAATATTTATTTTTAGACTGGAGAAATCCGATGAGCCGTGAAGCTCTTTTTCACAGACGTCCAGCCGGGGTGGGTCAGCAAGTTGCAACAACAAACAGCGTGAAAAAATATAAACGACAAGAGTTCAAAATAGGTACGAAAATTCACGAATATAAAATAAAAAAAAGTATACAAGACAATACACACTACAATCGGATATTAAAATTGGAAACATCGATGGACGGGTAGGGTTCAAAGTTACAAATCAAATTTGCAAATGTGGTCATGTCCAATCTGGCACCGACCTCTTTGCTTCAGGGTATTTTGTTTTCTTTCGTGGAAGATGTTATGATGCTAAGGGAGGAAACGAGGTCTTTCCCAAAACGTTGATTGCTGCAACGGCAACGGCTGTGTCACCGATTCCAATTCTCGTGCGAGCGCGAGTTAAAAGGCAATTAGGTGGACGTCTTAGGTTTCTTGGGTTCGACAATGGGCTTAATGAATGAACTAAATATAGCGCTTATTTGCCAATGCGGATCTTAAAAAGCCTCGGCTCTCAAATGTTTATTTCAGGAGGCTCCTGCTACATTTGTACGTTTTACCAATCCCATTTAGCGGGCTTGTGGATAAACTCCATGTATCTATAATGAATGAAAATACCATTTAAATACACGCAATAAGTATGAACCTTAGCTGTAAAATACATGTGCAGTGACACGCAGAACCCGTCCATTATTGCTTAAAAGAGGGCCCATTTGTGGAAACGTCACATATTTTATATATTTTTATTTAAAGCTTTCGCGACTGCAAAAATTAATAATCTTAGTTATTTCGGTAAAGTCACGTAGAAGGGAAACAATAAAAAAATAACAATATATTTTAAAAGTTTGATTTAAAGCTTTCGTGACTGCAGTAATTCATATTCTTAGCTCTTTCGGTAAAGTCACGTTGAAGGGAAACAATAAAATAATAAAATATATATTTAACAGGAAACAATGAAATAATTAAATATATATAGGAAATAAAAATATATATTTTATTATTTTATTGTTTCCCTTCAACGTGACTTTACCGAAAGAGCTAAGAATATGAATACATTTGTACGTTTTATATTTTTATTATTTTATTGTTTCCCCTTCGACATGACTTTACCGAAAGAACCAAGAATATTGGAATATATAAAAATATATTTAAAAAAACAAGAATATGTTTTTTTATATATGAATATGCCACCTCTTAGGCCAGTGTGATTGACCAATGTGTTGACTTGTTGTTGATACGTGCGCTTGTACATCACTGCCGTTGCTGTGAGACAATAACGCGAGTTTCGTTATCGCGCCGGGTGAGCGCCGCGAGTGGCTTGCAAGAGAGGTGGCCTTCTAGAGACGACTGGATCCTCGCTTGCAAGGGGCAACGTTCCCCCGCAGAATGAAGTAACGCGCAGACAATTATGAATTCAATTGCGAATTAATGCAAGGTGCAATTCAATCGCGCCTCCGAATAATCGTCATATAATCGAAGCCTACGAGAACCGGTAGACGCGGCCGGTCGTGACATCGCTGGATTTGAAACTCTGAAAAATGTACTCCTGATGTCATAGCCTGTGGATTGCTGCAGCGGTCTTATGGTCGGCACGCCGGACACGCAATTCCTGAATGGGAGTTGGAACAATTGGGATATTTCCTCTTTAAAATCACTCCCGCCTCTGTCCACACGGCAGTATGAATGCGTTCACCACAGTGTTAGTAGCCTGCTGGGGGTAAAGTGTGGGGTATTTCCACCTCCGCCAAGACTATCCAAGCGCAGGATAGGCAATGGGTTCGATCCCGACCCTGATGCCTGCTGTAATATTTAGAGTTCGCGTGTCTCTCTCTCTCTACCCGTGGTCGGCGTGGATTTTTCTCCTGGCCCTCCGGGTTTTCCCTCTAAATTTAGAATCAACGTGGCCGCTATAAATGTCCACGTTATGGTAAGACCACTTTGTTCATCTATCATTTGTGAAGGCCAGGTTGCTTCTGAAAAAGCAGCGAAATAGATCGGTGCGGCCTTACCTGGTAAACATTTAAATAAACATAGAGAAAACGAAAGAGGGCATTCTGTCACCTCTTCCATGCCGGTGAGACGTCTTGGAAGAGGTGGGATTACCCACATTTCTCTGTTTTACACTCTACTGTGAACCTGGCAACCCGAGTTCGATTCCCCGTCGCGATGAGCACGGTTTAATTTTGGTCAAACAACTCCCACGAGCAGCATGGCACGGGGAGGTCTTCGTACAGCCGCGGATTAACAGAGGAGGGTTGTCACTTGTGTTTTTCCACCTCCACCTTCATAACCGACATTACACGTGTTTTTTTGCTATAAATGTGCACATGTGGATGATGACGAGCCACTTCGTTGAGCTATAGTTTGTGATAGCCAGGTCGCTTCTGAACAAGAGTTACACA